CGCACATTATTAACAGATGTAGGACGTGGAAACTGAACAACAGCCTTAACTTTATCATCAACTGTATGAATACCTTCGCCGTCACCTACATGACCAAGAAAATGGATTCTGGATTTTAAAAACTCACATTTAGAAAGTTTAATTTTAAGACCTGCTGTAGAAAGATTTTGAAACACTTCACGCAGTTTGACAAGATGGGTATCGTCATCCTTATTGATTACTATGAGATCAACCAAGTTAGCACAGACTGTTATACCTATCAATCCGGCAAACAGTCAGTGGGGCCAAAAGGACTGTAAAATATCACTCAAGACAGGCATAGGGTACCTATCTGGGATAGAATTTTCATTAACACGCCTAAGATCAATAACTGGGGTTCCAACCGCCATCCTTCTTTGGAACTAAAAACAAAAGGCTATTGAAAGGAGATTTAGAATGTGTGATAACCTTCTCATTCAACATATCCTAAACCATGTCCTGAACTACAGCGTGCTGGCTATGTGGTAGTCGGTAAGCTGGTATGTAGATTGGATTCGTGCCCTCTTTTAAGGATATGTGATGTGAGGTTAGATCTGTGTGCCCCAACTGTTCCCCTGGTAAAGCTACAATATTTCTGTAGTCGGCAAGCAGCTCTAAGAGTCCTGTCTTGCCCTGAGGATGCTCAATCACCTTATCATGTGGTGATATTTGATCTATCCTCTCCTGCCTAGTTTGTTGAGGTGGAGAAAAAATACTACCAATTGGGAATTGCGAAGGCTGTAATTTAACTTTGTTATGATCAACCAGAAAATCACACAAATAACATCCTTCTTTCAATATTCTAAGAGGAAGTCGAATCGTGCTAAATGTTGATTCACACGATAAGCCTTTAATCTTGCACGTTTCCGGTAGACATACAGCATCATTCCCTGTGTACACGTCAGGTAAAACAACAGTGGCTGTAGTGATTTCCTCATTCTGATAGTGGAGAGTGCCTGTTGATACTGAAGGTACAATCTTCCAGATTTTGGTGCTATAATCACGCTGGGAAAGTGAGTCTGTGAGGTCTTGAGCTCGCTTTGACTCGTTATCCGCCTTCCTCTTAATGGGCATGGTGGATGATACTTTCAACCTTACGGAAAGCAACGGTGCAGAATTATGCATAGCATTGTAGGAAACACCATTAATTTTAATAGAATTACTACTTGGACGAACATCTATAAAATTTGTTCTAAGAGTTGGTAGACCTATCAACCCGTCAGCTGGTAAATTAAATTGCTGGACTACATAAAAATCTGCATAAAAGAAAATACCGCGTCAAGAAAAGCTTTGCGGTAAAGTTACCATTCCCACAATATTCAGCTGCATCCCGGAAACTCCTTCGAGACCGGTGTCAGTAGGTCGAAATGAAAAATCTCGGTGAAGTAATCTACGTTCTAACTCCTGATAGGATGCCAAAGCTAATACATTTGCACACGCACCCGTATCAATATCGAGAGCCAACTTGATAGACCCAACTCTCGCCGGAATGGACAACACTTCCGCTTTGTTGAGCGCCGCTATTAACGAGGCTGAGACAGAGGTGCTGTTGGGCGTTGGTACTGATGTACCTATCCTTCTTCGTCCTGGTACCGACGCTGGTCTTCCCCCGACTTCTTGTAATGATAACGACGCGCTGTACGCTGCTGTGTTACCTGGGTTGATCCTGCGTCTATACTCCGAGCTCTTTGCATCGCGGCACAGTCATCTGTGTTGTGAGAGTCAGACTGATGGTACTCACACCACATATCAGCTTTATGGTCTGTTACAGACGTAGTCGTTGCAGTCGCTGTAATATGTTTTGGGTGGTCCATGTCTTTGACGTGCGCCGGTGGTTGGATGTCTCTTTTCTTTATTCTTGACACCACCACGCTGGAGCTGGTAACAAAAGTCCACTGTATGACCTTTCTTCTTACAATAGGTACATACTAAAGTTTGCCTAGCTTTGTTACCTGGGTTGTTAGGAACTCGTTGTTGCATTGGTGTTACAGGCGTAGTTATCCTAGCTAGTGGAGTACGAGCTGACTTGGGAGCAAGTTTATTTGCGTAGTCTATAATAAAATCATTTGGTGCATACTCATGATCCTGTGCACGACAATATTTAGGGTCGCGTACTGCCACAAGAAAACTAATTAGTTCAAGTAATTTCTCATTATTTTCTTTAGACATTTTGTCATCATTATCAAACCAGGGCGACCCACCAGCAATGGCGACACTCTTCATCGGAGTTTCTGCGCGAACCACGCTTGTCAAACGGTCAAGCCACCTTAACAACCAATGTAAATGTCCTTGCTGTGTACCAGACTCAAAAACTCCAACAAGGCCACTGGCGTCCAAATGTTCACTTGCAAAACTACCTTGTGTGATATGAGAGCGACCAAATGATTTCTTCGCATCATCTCCTGTAATCTGAACATTTTTCATGGTATCCTAAAATGCTTTTATAAATGTAGTCACTCAGTATTCATCTTCCCCTGCAAAATCGCTCACCAGATCGCCACGCGGTAACACCTGAATAAAGTTAGAGGGGTTAGTAGACATGCCGGTGTTAGAAGTAGCTTTGAATTCAAATTAATCCTAACTGAGGGATCTGTTAATGGAGGAGATAATAAAAAATTTCTGACACATTGTCTTTCTCGGAAGGAGAAAGGAGAACCTGCCTGTATTCAGGCGGCTGGTATTTATTCAACAGAATCCCTTTGGCATCCCAGAAATCTTAGACCACGATCATGGTAACAGAAAATTGTCTTCTGAAATGCTTGTGGGGCGGGAAAATTCTGGTGTCAATGAGGAATCCAGTTCTCTCTCCAGTCACCAGACGGGAAAGAATGTGGTTGGATCGCCACCGTACAGTTCAAAGAGCTCGCGACATAACATAAGAACAAAAGAATGGAGGAAACTGCAGCGGGCCTATAGGCCCATATTATAGTTCATTTTTATTAATATCCAAAATAAGCACTGCCAAACGATATGACATGTCGTTTTTTGATTGGATGATATGACGGTATGCTCAGTGGAAGTAAATTTTAGCCAATCTGGAGCACTTATGCATCTACAGTATTTGTTTTCTAACTGAAGTTCCCCCCAAATTATATCGTTAATGTATCATCATGGGAAGAATACGGTGATCAATTAAATAAAAATCAGGACTAAACCTAGGGAGAGGAATTTTCATAAAAAAAGTCACGAAGTGGTGCTTAAGATAGGAATGATCTGGGCTATGACAAAAGCAACAAGATGACAGCTTTTTTTTTTTTTTTACGGGATTAGCCCACCAAGGCATAAGTCACTGACCCACATCAGGGCCTGGGGGCGAAAATATAATAATAATAATAATAATAATAATAATAATAATAATAATAATAATAATAATAATAATAATAATAATAATAATAATAATAATAATAATAATAATAATAATGTTACAAGTTAGCAAGTTAACTTAATGTCGGGTCCATCCATAGAGGCCAACTCGTAAAAAAAGTAAGGTAATTTACGAAAGATTCCAGGGGAAAAGGATGAACATTATACACAGGAGGAGTTTTTAATATTTAATAACAATAATGACTAATTGTACAGACAAATCTTAACCGCTAGCCCTACACCAGTGCCGGAACTTTTAATATTTAATAACACTAATTATTGATAATAACGACAAATCCTAACCGCTAACCCTACACCAGTGCCCTAACTAAACAAATAAATAGCCTAACTAGATACAAACTAAAACATGGGGACAAGAGCAAAGAGGAGCCAGAGAAAAACTTAAGCCATTTACTTCTCTCTGCGATGAATGTTATGGTACGTGGGATGATTAAGGCGGTCACTTGAAGCGCAGGAGCCCGGGGAAGGTAGAGGTCCTTAGGGCGAGCCAGTATTCCACAACAGAGGATGAGAGTGTCCTGCTTTTCAGGGTGAGATACAGGTCCCTCGTCACCTTGGTGGCTCACGGGAGAGCCTAGAGTGTTGTTAATTGCCGACCACTAGATGGCGTTGACCCAGGTTCCAGGCGCCAAGGTGATACTGTTACCGACCCCTAGATAGCGTTGACCCAGACAGAGGGACGTTACACCCCCCCCCCCCCTTCCAAGTCCTCATAGGATTGACAAAGGAGGACAGCCGCCGTTGATCAGCCCGAAGCCTCGGATGAGGAGATTATATGGTTGTACTTGTAGCGCCCACAGAACGATACGTTGGTTGTGATTTTGCATGGTGGAGATGAATATTAATGGGTTGTGGTCAGTGTAGACTGTGGTTTGTTCCGGGTTATGGTGGAGGTAACATTCAAATCTCTATATGGCCAAGACTAGTGATAAGGCTTCATTCTCGATGGTTGAATACCCCCGTTTATGTCTCTTGAGTTTTGATGAAAAGTAGGCTACAGGGTGCAATATTTCGCTGGTAGGGTCTTGTAGGAGGACTGCACCAACTCCGACTTCGCTGGCATCAATCTGGAGGCTAAAGGGTCGTAAGTGGTCAGCAGTCCTCGGGACAGACTGGGAGAATAGGAACAGTTTGAGGTGTTCAAAAGCCCTATCTACCGTCCGTGCCCTGGCGCCTCTCCTGTGTAGCAAGACATCACCTGCCGGCGCCAAGTGAGGAAGCTACCTTGACCTCCCCCCCCTGAGAATGGATCATTGGTTTACGGAACCTTCCACCTGGCCATCGCCGTAGGAAATATTTCTGTTCATTGTTTGATTCTCGTAATTGTTTGACTCCCTTAATTGTTTGACTCCATTAATTCTTTGACTCCCGTAATTCTTTGACTCCCGTAATTCTTTGACTCCCGTAATTGTTTGCCTCCATTAATTGTTATTTGATATTTATGTGAGTGGTGTCAGTTTTTGTGTTATTTTCATAGTAAAGAGATGTCAATCTCTAACGGTTGTTTGTTATCCCTCGGAAAACCATGGTTCTTGACTTTCCTCTTATAAAATCCTGATTAGGCTGGCAAGGGACTTCTATCCCTAAGTCCCAGGCCTTTACACAGGTGTCCATAGGAATGGCGTTTTGGGACTATTCAGCTTAGTTAAGGGGGCAGCGACGGTGGAAAAATTGCTGCAGAACCTACTGTAGTAGCCAACCATTCCCCAAAACCTCATAAGAGCTTTCCTGGTGGCAGGTGAATGGGAAGCCTGGATGGCTTCAACATTTGCAGTCTTATTTCGCACCAGTCGCTGGCCAACTAAATGTCCCACGTATACAACAGTGGCCATCCCGAATGTTGATTTGGCCAAATTAATGGTGAATCTAGTCCCCTGTAGTCGATCCAAGAGAGCGTTGAGACTGGTAAGGTGTTCTCCCCAGCTGTCGGCGGTGACCACTAGATCGTCTAGATAAGCAGCATTCCCCTCAAGATCTTGAATAGTGTAGCTAAACACTCGCTGGAAGGTAGCAGGAGCATTAATCATCCTAAATAACATAATAGTGTATTGATATAAACCAAAAGGGGTAGTAAAGGCAGAGGTGGTTTTGGCTTTCTCTGTTAACCCTACTTGGTAGTAACCATTTAACAAGTCAATCGTACTAATATATTTAGATTGTCCAATGTTATCTATCAGATCCTTCATCAGAGGAAGAGGGGAAGAATCGGGGACAGTTACTTTATTGACTTTACGGTAATCTGTACATAGTCTGCTACTTCCATCAGGTTTAGGGGTTAACAAGCAGAGTGAAGCCCAGGATGAAACACTGCGTTCTGCATGATTGTTTTATGGGCTCAACAACTTGGTTAATAAATGGTGACGTCATGCTGGAGAAAATTGCAAAACCCGGGGAGGTCATCAGTGATTCTGGGGTATGAGAATAACAAATGTCTTAAGTCGTCTCTCTGTGTTTGAGGTTACGTGTCAAAGTAAGAGTCAAGATTACCGAGGATGTCGCGGTTTTTAGGGTTTCCATTAGGGAGAGGAAGATTGGGCTCTTCATCTTAGTCAAATACTCTAGAAAATTAAAGTGACTGTCTCTGACTCTTGGACCAAACTAGTATTACACATGGCACTGGGAATTGCATTTTGACCCTCTGCGGAGTCTTCCTCTCGCTTCCTCTCAACATAAACTTTCATGAGATTGATATGGACCAGTAGTGAATCTTTCCGCCGGTCAGAAGTGTTGACGATATAATATACAAAATTGAGTTTCTGGGAACAATATTTTTTTTAGCATGGATTTTAATGTTTGGTGAAACCGTTCCAGGCAGCCTTGGGTTTGGGGGTGGTATGCCGATGAGGTCATTTGTGTGATGTTTAAATCATTTAAGACTTGTTGGAACAGATAGCTAGTAAAGTTGGTGCCTTGATCAGATTGAATTTATTTTGGTATCCCAGCTGATGTAAATAGATTTAGTAAACACTTAATGATATTTTTTGATGTAATATTTCTCAAAGGATAAGCTTCAGTATACATAGTAGAGGTACACAATATAGTAAGTAAATATTGTTTACCTATTTTGGTTTCAGACAAGGGGCCAACACAGTCTATGACTATTTTCTCAAATGGTTCTGTCACTACAGAGATTGGTTTAAGAGGGGCTGGTGGAATTTTTTCATTAGGTTTCCCTACCATTTGACATACATTGCATGATTTAACAAAATCAGTAACATCTCGTTTAAGTCCAGGCCAGTAAAAGTGTGAGAGTAATTTCTTATAGGTTTTCAGGATTCCTATATTCCAAATAATCCATCATGAGCCAGTTCGATCAGGGTTTGACGAGCAGATTGGGGTATAACAACTTACGGACTTCAGCTCATGAATCCAATTGTTTTAATTCTCTATTCCTGTATGCCCGCATCAAGATACACCTTCATGAACGTAGAAACAAGGGGTTTTATTTATAGCTTTGTCCTCCTGAGCAATGTATCTGATTTGGCTAGGGAAGGACCTGTAGTTTGGGCTTCTATTAAATTATCTTTAGAGATGGCTTTAGACTAAATTTCTTCAATAGCTGACAAGGTTGATGGTGGGGTAGTAGACTTTTGGGACCTAGTTACAGCACAAGCAGGAAAAATGTGAGGTTAAGTTAGAGCTAGCTTCTTGGTGGAACTTTGAGACAAAGGGGCGTCAACCACTTTTACGTTAGGAACTACCCATTTTCCCGCTAGGACATTGCCCAATAGTAAGTGTAATCCCTTAATTGGAAAAGACTTTTCTGACAGGTACTTATATTTTTCCTTTTAGAAGATCACAATTTAGGTAAACTCTAGCCAAATTGTATGGATGACAAGACGAGAGATCCTCTATTAGAATCTTCTCCCCAGTACAGGAAGTATGTATGTCAGGGAGGGCGCTATCTCTAAGAATGCTTTGCGCAGCTGCTGTGTCCCTTGAGGATAGTGATGGGGTAGTAGGGTGTGTCATAGGAGGGAAGATCAGCTAAAACTAATGGCCCATCACTTTTTTGGTAGATTTTCGTGTATATAAACAGAAAATAATTTCAGTTTCAATATTTTGCAACCTTTTGCTAGGTAAATTTTAGCGTGAAATTTATCGAAAATCTAACGTACAGCTGCATTAGTGCATTACAATTAAATAGTGAACATTGCTTTCTGACTTCATTCTTTAACAACCCAACTAACAATATTTTTTTCTGTTTCAGATTCTGATGCATTTATAAGTTGATAATATTTGCGATGGCTGCTTGTGTCAGGACGAGGAACCAAAAATCCAGCCATCTCAGTCACTATCTTGGGTCTGGGAGAGAGCTCCTGAAGTCGGAGTTGCCTACATTGAGGAGATGCTTTGAGATACGGTGTTTTAATCAGGCAAATCAGTGAAAAGAACCAAAGAACTTACACAAACAAAGACATTGCCAGTGATATGACCAAAGCTGTCTTGGCACAGTACACTCTGGCTAACGCTCAGTTCAAGCCTCCAGTCATAACAAGTCAGAAGAAGATTAGTGAGAGACTGCTAGCCAGTTGGGAAAAGGCAAGAGATATCTCTCTTGGGAGAGGATAACTTGCAGTTAAGGACAGCTTTGCCAAGCAACTGGACCAGTTATTTGACATAATTACTTGCACGTGCCCAATTGTTCTCTGTCCTGAGTTTGGATGCGATCGTGACTGTAAATCCGAGGCCCACATCTCGTGTATTTGCAAGCGTGAACTGAAGATTCATGTGATCGAACTGGCATTTGTCAAAGCACAGAGAGAGAAGACTGGCAGTATAGGAGCTCTCATGATTTCTAGCCAAGATATTCCGGAGTGCAAGAGACAGGAGGCTGCCACAGAGAGACAGAAGAGGAGAAGAGTTGCCGAGGAAAAGAGACTTGAGAAGGCCCAGGGTGAGGTAAAAAAGGCCGATGATTGGAGTCAAGCTGATTCAGAGTTTAATGACTTCCCCATGGCTGATCCGAGTGCTGACCAGGAGAATGGTGACTTTGTCCCTAACCCAGAAAATAATGATCCCAAACCTTCCAGGCATAAGATTCGAAATAGGAAAGATATCCGAGCATAGCTCTGGCCAGCATGCGACACCACACTGGTCTCAGAGAAACTGCAGAGATAGCAACAGCTGCCTGGATTGACGGTGGTTTGATAACACCTGATGATGTTCACCTGGTGATAGATCATATCAAAGTAAGGAGAGCTCAGGAGAAACTTGCTGCAAATTCCAGAAGAGGAGCTTGGATAAGGGATAAGAGAAATGGAATCAATTGTTTGTTCTTTGATGGGAGAAGGGATGACACTAAAGTGTTCATGAAAGTTGGAGATTCTGACAAGTTGTTCCCTGCCATGGTGAAGGAGGAACACTACTCCTGCTGTAGTGAACCAGGAGGGAAGTATTTGTGGCATTTCACTCCAGAGAAAGATGACATCAGGAAACCAGCTGAGATAGTGGCAGATAACATTGTGAACTGGCTCAGAGAGAGGAACGTAGACCAGACCCTGCAGGCCATTGAGGACAGCACCAACACGAACACAGGGTGGGCAAGGGGGGGTCACAGTGGATAGATGAAGATTGGGAGGAAGCTGGTCTGGATTGTTTGTGACCCTCCACACCAACGAGTTGCCACTCAGACATCTGATCCAGGAGCTGATGGCAAGACTTTTTCAAACAACAGATGGTCTGGTCCTCTTGGCAAGATGCTGACCTTGCCACTGGAGTTAGAAATAAATCCGAGCTTTTGAAAAAATCACAGTTGGCCCTCCACTCGTTGAGCTTGCACATACTGTCATTAACGACCTGAGTACTGACCAGTACTATGGTTACATGATTTGCAGTGCCATCAAAACTGGGGTCATGCCTGATAGACTTGCTTGCCTGCAGATAGGTCCAGCCTCACATTCTAGGTGGCTCACAACGGCTCTCAGGTTCTGCAGAATTTGGGTCGCTCATCACAAACTGAAAGGGAACCAGCTTCACAACCTGAGACTTATTGTCCAATTCATCGTGAGTGTCTACTTGCCAAATTGGTTCAACACCAAGGTCAAGTCATCGTTCTCCGAAGGTCCGAGGCATGTTCTCTTCCAGCTTGAGCTCCTGAGGAGTCAGCCAAGGAAGGTTGTTCAGATTGTGGAGCAGACTGTGAGGAGATCTTTCCTGGTATGCTCATCCAGGCAGTTCTGCAGACAATGCTCTGCAGGCAGGATGAGGAGGAGAGAAGAGTGGCAGTCAAAAAGATCTTGGATATGAGACTTTATAGAGGAGGATCTGGGCATGTGAATCAGTTGGTGGCGATTCCTTCAGGTCAGGAGAAGACTCCCTGAGATCAATCTAGGTGTAAGACCTCACTGATCCTCATAGATCTGGATAACATCCAGGCTGGCAGTGAGCCCCCCTCTTACCTACCCAGCCTCACCAATGTTCAAGTCAGAGCTTTCCTGGACAACCCCATGCATGTCCCTGCTTGGCCCTCGCACACCCAGAGTATAGAGCGTTGTGTACAGCAAGTGAGCGAGGCCAGCAGTCACGTGTACAGCCAGGAGAGGAGGGAAGGCTACATCCTAGCTCAGGTGGTCAGCAGGGAGGTGATGAGTAGAAACAAGCAAGAAAGACATGTTCTCTATGGTGTGCAGCAACACCGGGTCGTAGTAGTAAAACCGGTTTTTGTATTTGATGATTTTGTTTTCTAAAGGAATATTAAATTTAATAAATGTGTCAAGATCATTCGTTTCACTATTCTGGATCATTTTCATCCTAATAAATTAACCTGATACATTTACTTTACTTTAAATAAGCTATTTAGTGGTGTTGGTAAAAGGGTGGGAATACTGAATTTTCATAAGATTTCAAGTTAAAATTTACATAGCAAAAATGAAAACTTTTCAAATCTGAAGATATCACATGATTCTGCACATAGAACTACATCATTAATACCATGGGCCGATTTTTCAAACTCAAAAAAAAAAAATTCGCCTCCGTATGACACATCCTAATGGGGTAGGCTCTAGTATTTTTTGACAATGAAATGGTACCTTGGAACTCGTAGTCCTTGAAGAGATCTTGTTGGGAGGTATATGTTAACACTAGGAACAGGCTTTTTAAATTTATCGTCTGGCCTAAATATTGAAGTGGTTTTTGAAGGGGTAGCAGAAGTTTTCATTTTGGATGTTTACAAAACTGGATGGTATGGCCGGGTCTTTTACAATATGAGCACAATTTAAGTTGGCATATAAACATCTTGGTTACCATCCCCAAAGACACGGCTTTCACTAGAGGATGACTGTGCATATTGAAAAGTGCTACGCCCTCTGCGATTCAGTGACCCCACCAGCAGAGAGAAGGCATCATCTTTCTGGGCTGCCTTAGATTGTTTTCCCTCGCTCCTCAACATGCTTTAAAATATTGAATGGTAATTTCTCTTTCCATTCTTCCACCACGATGAGATTTACGAGGTCATCGAATGTGTTAGTGTTGGTGGCCTCAATCCACTTGAGAATCTTTGTCTGTACCCATCAGGAGTAATAAAGTAAGCATCAAGAATACACTTTTCTACGTTCTGGAAGCCTTTTTGAATATCAAGACTGTTAAAAACTCTGTACGCTTTCCCAGTCAATTTAGGGGCTAACATGGACACCCAATGTTCGGCGGGTTAATCGTTGTCAGTGGCTACATTTTCAAAAGACACAAATGATCCATCTACGTCAGACTCGTCAAAGGGCAGAACAAGAGCCGATTCTCGAGCAGGATGGGAAGCAATTTGTTTTTCGTGGACACTTATCTGTGTAACAACTAATTGTCTAAGCTGCACTTCATTTTCTAACTGTTTCATTCTCAGTTCGGTTTCAGCTCTTACCTTGAGTGCTTCTTTCTCGGTCTCAGCTCTTACCTTGACTGCTTTGTTCTCATTCTCAGCTTTTAACTTCAGTTCTTTTTTTTTTTTAATTCAAATACCATTCGGAGTCTTTCTAGCTCTAGGGAGTCGACATTTCTTGTATCTAATGATTCAGAGGTGTGGGGGTGTACAAGGATTTCATAATTATCCTCATGAACGAAGGGAGGGCTCATAGGTGTTAAATGATCAGCACCTTTTCCCTCAATGATGTCTTTAGACACTAGACCTTCTATGACCACATTATGTAGAACTTCTTTAGTTACGTTACTTGAAAAAGGGATTGAAAATAGCGAGCAATGGCAATCTAGAAATTTTTCTTTATGTCTTGACCTTGTAATTGATCTCCGTTAAATTTAGCAGCGGCCAAGGTGTACACAGACAGTAATAAGTAATATCAGCAAAACTTAAAAAAAAGGTGTTAAATATACAAGTATGATTTGATTCCAACCTAAATGGAATAAATGGTAAGTATCACAAAGCAGGTAAATGATAAGAACATGAAGGTAGGATGATAACTAGAATAATCCTCGGGGTAGTACCTAGTTATGCCCGAATTACGATATTCACGAGTGTGGACACCTGGATTTAAAGACAGAAGAGGAGGATTACGGCATTGACATTTAATTGAATTGAAACGGTTTATTTAGCCAGAAAATGTAGATACAGAGTGGATAATAATAACAATATTAACATGGCTGAGCCAGTTGAGAACCTGAGCTCTCTTTGAGGCACCTGATATATATTATACATTTATCCAAAGGAAGTATTATGTAACATTTAGTATCATCTGGAATAATACAATAGCATGGTGGTAATAATAACATCTCATAATGTTACCACGGTTATCATTTCAATAGTTATTTATATTATTTATTTATTATTTTATTTTTTATTTAATTTATTTATTTATTTATACATACGGGAAAATGGAAACAACGGAGTACCTTAGCTTGCCCTATTCAAGACATCTTCAGAGGCAACTGGATTACATGGACAGAGAGAGGCTTAAATATACAGGGTGACCTAAAAACATGAGGTCAGGTCATAATGATGACATCCACTAATCCCCACACCAACACACACGTAGAGGAGCTTAAGAGGA